AGTAAGTAAGTAAGTAAGTAAGTAAGTAAGTAAGTAAGTAAGTAAGTAAGTAAATCATTATATAAATTGTTTCAGATAATGTTCAGGAGTTAACAATTTTCAAGGAACTAAAGATGCTTTAATTCTAGATATAGCTGACCTATGACAATCACACTAGAATTAATTAATGTTAACTGGAGACAGAGAAATAGAAACAGATTAACAAATTAGCTATAAGTTGAATTAAAGTAAATAATTAAAATATGGATAATAAATCAAGGCTAAGCAAGTTTTTAGGTATTAAGCACCATTGTTATGGAATGTGATATTTTCACCCCACTATATCAGCTACATTTGAAACATTCAATAGGATGAAGGGTTAGTTAACCTGAAACAGATGTGGTGCTTAAGTCATATTGATATGACTCAACAGTCTTACTTGTTATGACTAACATTATATATAACATTACCATTGCAAAGACATAATGTATTTGACAGCAAAAGAACTGCGAAGAACACTTAAGTACTATGACCTGAAAGGAATACAACTATTTTCACCAAAATAATTTACCTTACAATGGTAATATTGTCTTAGATTTTCTAAGAATATGAACATAGAAGAAGATGCAAGGGTTTCCCTCTCTTAAAAATCTGTGTCCAGATTAAATTTGGAGTTATCTTCCTTTATACAAACATAATTTTTGACCAAATATTGCTAGTCTACAACTGAAATTTGAAACACTAAAAAGAATAAAAACATATTAAAATAAAAAAAATTAAATTTGCTTGAATAAAAATCTACTCTTCGTTGGTTAGTTTATAGAATGTATGTAATACAAACAGACTTGAATTATGGAATATATTGTATGAATTCAAAGTTGAAGAATTGTTGCTGAATTCAGTAAGAATAGCATATAATGAAAATATTATCTTTAGCAATAGAAGCTGCCTTTTCTTTGGTAACTATTGAACTGATTAAATTCACATTCCTGTATATATCTAAATACTGTTATTTTTATTATTTGAGGTTGCTATTTTATTGCAATGTGCCTTGATTGTTTTAATCCCATTTCCAAAGTTTAATATTATGCTGGTCAGAATCACCTTTGATTAAAAGGTTTACAAGCCCAATAAACTAACCAATCAAGAATAAATAGAATACTTAGCAAATAGTTAAATACAAAGTAAGTCTAAGATCTATGTTGTGCCCCTTGGTTGTTTAATATATTTATCAATATATCTATAAAATTGTTTATGTTATGAAGTTAAAGATTGGTTGGGGATGTGAATGTAGTGTACTTTAGTGTGGCAATTATGTCATGTTACTGGCAAAGGATTGGAATGATTTGTAGCAAAATATTTCTGTGATTATAGTTAGGAATACAAAGGATCATTGGAAAACTAATGTTTCAAAATCCAAGGTAGTTGTATTTCAAAGGGAAAATGGATTGAATAGTAGCAAGTCAATTGTAAATAGTGATAAACTAGAGCAAGTACATGTAGTGCGTACCTTGGGAGAATACTTATTAAAATGGGGGGGGGGGATGAATGATTTTTAAGACATGAAAAGTGGACAGCATGTAATTTATTGGGAAAAATGTAAAAATAAAGTGAAATGACATATACTTGTGTGATTTTGCCACTAGGTTGAGCAAATGGACTGAATACAAAACTGAGGGAGCACTACAAAAAAAAGGGAGATATATATATATATATATATATGGGAGTCAGTTTGGTCTAATGGTTAAGGCAGCAGGCTGGAAAGCAGAAGACAGAAGACAGTGAGTACAAGTGAGCCTGAGGCATGAAAGCTGGCTGGGTATCT